GAGTTTGGTAGCTCCTAAAGGGGGGCTGATTTGGTACTATACAGTCTGTGGAAGAGGCTGCGTTTGTGCTCCGTTTGCATGACAGAGCGCATGGATGAAGACCCGACAGGTACATATCAACTAGTCTAAGGTGTAAGGTAAGAACATATGTCAGTATGTAAAAACGGTGGCCTATTCCTTTAAAGCTGGACTACCTGCTGGACACTTTATTTTTGTATTCATTAGGGAAATTCAACCCATATCCATGCAGTGCTTTGGAATATACTTCCTTTTAAAGAATAAGTAGCGCAGGTTTGTACTGGAGTGTAATTTTATATATATATTTTAGATTGAGTTTTTGTGCAACGCGGAAGAGAATTTGTTTATTGTTAGCGAAACAGCCAAGAGAAAGTCTCGTCCTCGGCGCTTCCCTGTTCTATCATCGTTTATTTGTAAAGTACAGTTCACACAGTGCTAAAATGTATTCCAATTATCCAAACAATATTAATTTTCTAGTCCGACCCCTCGTGTGCAGGTATAGTATGGCCCTTACGATATCTTGGGTATGCCCCTATGTTCAGAGTTTCCGCATGCCAGTGCCCATCAAATCAGATATGCCACCCTGCCGTTTTTGGAAATGGGCAACACGATAGAGTGTGGAACACAACAAATTTATTTAAGTCTAAAAAAAATAACCAAATCAATAATAATAGTTATAGTTATCGACTGATATGAAACACTTATATTGTGGTATATCACGGGTGTTCATATAACTACCGTATTTTACGGGCTTTAAGCCGCAGGCTCCAATTTTTTAGAAAGCCATTTAATTTTGTACTTTTTAATTTTGTACAAGCCGCACCAGATTATAAACCACACCTGCCCTACATTGTAATATTGAAAAATTTAGCTCAAAAACATTCATATGTATGTTCTTGTGATTAATAAGAGTGAGAAGTGAGCGGCTGTTCTGAAACTTTAGTGTGAAACCGAAAGATGAGGAGCAACATCTACTGGTGCTCTTTTCACTTTCATGTCTATACTGGGAAACAAAAAAAACTATTGAGATATTTAGACAAAGATTTTATAAGAGAGGACTTTATTTAATCTGATTGATTGACAAATCTTACAATTTAATTGGACATCTGTAAACTACTGAATTTGGTTGGTCTACAGTTACTTGGCAACATGTTTTTGGCTCTGGTTCTGAACTATGGGCAAAATTTGGCAAGTTTTCATGCATGTTCAGGGGGTCAAATTATTGGTCAAAGAGCAGAAGAAAAAAGAAAAACCAAGGAATTTTTTCAAAAGTCTCCGAGCAAAAACAATATGTTTCATGGCACATACTGATACATAATTTTGAAGCGTTTGAGTTTACGCACGCAACCATCACGTTTTGGCACGCACCGCTACCCCTTGCATTCACCATTGTGAAAGCAATAGCGATCTATCTGAATGACGTCACTAAGACACGCCCCCGCCGCCTGTCAACTCCCGCCCACATGTTTCGGACAAACACTGCCGAAATGAATCAAATACCGCTTGTCACTTTAGACGAAAATGATAAACCAGGAGCAAAATTCCACCATCAAACCGTCAGGGATCATAGTATAGACCAATTATAACGTTAGCTTGAATGTCGTGGTCTGTAACTGGTAGAAAGTTTGATTTGATACTGGTAATAGTGAGGATTATGCTAACATTATCTTGTCATTTAAATTCTATGCTAGCGCCTTCTTTGTTTATTTTGCTGTGATTAACTTCCATTTATCAAGGGTTTGTTTTTGCACTGTCCACTCTGTAATTAGTTTTATCATTAGTTAGCTACTGTCAGCCGATATTATAATAGATCCATGGGTCACAACGGGCTACGCCACTACTGTCTCTGAGAGAGAAACTATCAGAGCCACACTCAATAAACGCAAATGACAATCAATCAACACATTTAAATGTAAATGGGAGAATATATTATACATACATTTGTAACACACGTGCACGGAGGTTTTCAGAAGTACCTGTTAAGGTTTTCATGACAAAAATACTTTTTTAATGCGACTAAAGTGATCGCTTTTTTAAAGTAGGTTAACTAGCCTCACTGTTACTCGCCTGCCACGGGAAAACCTTTGGGAACTATTTTCTTTGCACTCATTAAATAAACCTTTCAGCATGAATGACTGAAGTTTATTTTGTGTGTGCAGTTGGTACAAAGCAGTATAATAAGCGGACCCCGACGAGCTTCGTCTGTACTTATTTTCCGATAGTCACAAAGTTGAAAAAACCCCTCTCATTTTTCTTCAGGTGTGAGAATTGTATACTTTCTGGATTAGGACAAACAATACTAATATGGATTGATGGGGGTAAATGGTATAAAGAGAAAGTTTGTGCTAACTACATTCAGAAGAGCTCAGATGGACCTGATACAGCGGTCCAGGTCCAGTCCCAGCTAAACGTAGCTCGGACTGGATCTGGATAGTCCACAGTTGGTCCAGCGAAGTGTTTTTTCAAAACACGTGTCCTTTTTAACCTTTTCATGAGAGAAATTCTGCCGACCACAAGCACCCACCTCTTGCACTTGTCCTGGTCTGGTCCTGGTCTGGTCCTGGTCTGGTCCGATGTTGTGGTTTAACGAACGGGTTGAATGTTACTGCTTTCATATAGTCCTTTTCAGAGTATCTGAAATCGCTCCGACAAGCACCAAAACTGCAGTGTTTTGTTGTCACCGTGATTCAATGATTTAGCCCAAATAAATACACACGCGTATGTGGAGAACACAGTAGAACTCAACGAGTCGCACTCAATGTTTGTCCGAAACATGCGCGCATGCGCAGTCATCTGAGCTATTTTTAGCACATTTCGGAAACCGGACAGTGCCCTATAGGCCCTTACCCCAGTCAGGGCTTATTAGCGCCCCCTACAGACTATGTCAAAGTTTTACATGGGGTAAATCACATTTAGTTTTTTGCACATAATTCTGTTTTGCCCTCTTGATTAAAGAAGTCAATGACACCCAAGACTTATTTTTTACCCTGTTGCCGTGGCAACGTCAAACACTGCCCATTCTGTGTTAATGGGGGACAGTAGCTCAGTTGGTAGAGCATTGGCCTTTGAGCCAGAGGGTCACCATCCACTCCCACTGTCTTCTGTCGTTGTGTCCTTGGCAAGACACTTAACCTCTGGGAACACCAGCCACAGTGGGGCGGCTGCGGCTGTGAAGTGCCAAACTGCCGTTGTGTCCTTAGGCAAGACACCTAACCTCTTGGAACACCAGTCACAGTGGGGCGGCTGCGGCTGTGAAGTGCCAAACTGCCGTTGTGTCCTTAGGCAAGACACTTAACCCCCATTGCCTAGAATGAGTCTGGTGTGTGTGTGTGAATGGTTGGTGGTGGTCGGAAGGGCCGATGGCGCATACTGGTTGCCTCGCTTCTGTGTGCCCCAAGGCAGCTGTGGCTACAGTAGTAGTTTATCACCACCGTGTATGGAGTGAAAAAATAATGACATGTAAAGCGCTCAATCATCATTTCCCTGCATATAACGTCTGGGTCTGGTCCCCATGTTAGCGATTGCAATCGGTTGAATTTCGACCGACTAATCAGCGAGCGTGGGAGGTGGGTGTTGTAGTTAGTTGTGGGTGATGTCAAGAGTTTGCGGGAAGGTTGTAGTTTGGCAATGGCGAAAAATGCGATGGTAAAGTAATCCGGTCTTGTTCTATCAAGAAATTAAAGCAGGAGCAAGAGTAATGTTTAGCAAATGTAATCGCTGGAAAAAATTGTGGCGCTACTCCACACGGGCTCTATGAGCAGGCCATGAGGAGACAGACCAGGAGCATCCTCTCTGAACCTACACATGTACTTTTCCCTGAATATGAGCTTTTGAACTCTGGGAGGAGGTACAGAGTGCCTTGGTGCTGACTCAATCGCTATAAGAACTCATTCATACCCTTTTCAGTGAATCTGTTAAATAAGGACATGAGGAGATGATGTGTGTGTGAACTGTACAGCACGTGTGTTGGTGTCTTTGTATGTATTTTTTGTACTGAAATGTAGCAGACCCATCAGTCCAAACCAAATTTCTCCTTAAGGAGACAAAAATAATCTTGATCTTTACTTTTGGGCACAACCAACATTATTATGCATTATTCATGGGAAAATGTAGGTACCACAGCTTTAATTTAGAGACACAGGGAGGACATGGACACACCCTTAAGGCTCCAGAGTCCAGCAGCGAAGACTAGCGCTAGCTACTAGCTTCGTGCAGAACCAAACAGGTTGACTCACCAGTTCCTCTGTATGATCATGCACACAGTGTGACAACCGCATCAATTGAAGTGTAGGAGGCGCCTGTAGCGAAGGCATATCAGTTACCCACTGTATATTGTGAAACAAAGTTAGATCTTGGAAAAAAAACCTGCAGCTTGCTCGGTTCCGACTTTCCCCACGACAACACACTCACCGGTGGATAGAGACTGCATACAAATAATGGAGACGAGGGGAGACGACGATTAAAATGACCCGGGTTACATGAAGTACGCAAAGGCGCTGACTAACTCAAGTGATGGTACGCATTTCTGATATTTGTCACGCATGCTTACCTGCGTACCACTTATGTGCATCCCTGTATATATGGCACACTCATGTGCTCCTGTTTACACGTACAAAGTCTGATTTGTAATAAACTTGACTTAGTTGTTCTACTCCTGGGCCTAGGCCACCTGAAGGTATGAAATGTTTAATTGGCTCTTTAGCGCCCCCTACAGTCTGAGCTAACGCCACCTCCTTTGCGTGGTGCGGCGAGGGCCTTTCGACGCCGCTTGCAGCTTTAATTTCTTCTTGGATTTTTTGACTGAAAAAACATTGAACATTTTTTCCTGTGACTATACACATGACATAAAACTGCCACTGAGTGATTAATGTGGACTACAAATTCTGATATATATTTTTTTCCCTCTGTTTTCCAGGTGATGTCGTTGCCACAGAAGCTCATCTCCTGAAGAGGGCACCATTTTGACCGACTCATGCTGATAAATGCCAGCCCGCACGGGACGTTTGAGTAACCACAGCCACCGCGCTTTTCCCACTGGTGGGCAAGAGGGTCAATGCTGGGTGGGCTCGAGGCCTGGGTCATCTAGTTTTATGAAAAGCACCAGTCTTAATGGGTGTTCTCACACTGTAGGAACCTTTTTAGATCCAGACTTTTGCTCCAGTGCTGGTATTTTGAGTAGTGTTAACCTCCATGAAACTGCAGGGTGCACTAAACGGGCTCGGATATAAATGGAACACAAGTCGCGTTTGGTCAGTTCATATACATCACTAACCTTTTTAAATCCGAGGGCTTACCAAAGGGCTCTAGGGCTACTATAAAATTGTGTAATTAAAATGAATTGCGCATTACACGGATCGGTCAAAAATAACCCTAGTCTTTCATTTAATTTTATGATGGATTAGGATTTTAAACGACTAAATTCAACTATTAATTTGAGTCTATAATCAAATGGGGATGTCATTTATACTCTTATTTTATGTTCACTAGTGCGGATTCTGGTTAAACTTAAGGTAATCAACTACCACTACTAGCTCTGTAATAAAATCCATGTCATTAGTCCCTAGCTATAAAACAGTTTGGTTTTGTCCCTAGTATTTTTGACCTCTCACATGTTCAGACTACCTCTGACAAACAGCAGCTCACTGCTAAAAGATGCGCTTTTGTCTGTTTGCAATAACTTGGACATCAAATACATTTTTTTATGTGTGGTTAAAGACCTCCTTGATTCCCTTCTTACTCCTGCAGGCTCAGTCCTGGCTCAGAACTGGTTCGTAGCAGCTTACTGCTTTAATTCAATTAACTTGAGTGAAGTGCATAATTCATAACATTTATTGAAAAGTGCGTAAAATGTGGCTCATTGCGCACATATTTTGAGTGTTTGTCTCACTTACAACCTGGACACTTGTGTGGCTCATAACTTTAAAGATTGAAACATAGCATAGACTCATCTGCCACATAGACTGCATGTATGCTTTTGCCTTCGCAAATGTAAACCACTGAGCACAAAGGAGTAAAGGCTCTTTGGACCAATACTATTTTTAGATCATGTTTTGCGAGCACCTTTCTTGCCCGCGGGCATCGGGTTGGTGACTCCATATATATATATATATATATATATATTATATATATAATGGTAGTAGTTGTCATATAGAATTCGTGACTTTGTGTAACAGTGAACGTGTGTGAATGTAAAAGGATCTCCACATTTACCTGAAGTATGTATGTGTGCCTCCTCTGCTTGAGACCATGTCATGGGGATTAGTTTGGCAGTCAAACTAGTTTTGAGAGTCCTCACAGGACTTTTAGCACCATTATTTGGTTGAATTATGTGCGTGAACATAAGTGAAACAACCTAGTGCCCGATGTCCCACATTAGGGAGTGCAGTCACATGCATGAAAATTCCCTGCCCACATTAAACATTGCTCTGTTTTAACACTTTCAATCAAAAAAGAAAAAGAGGGGCCATCTCATGGCACGTTCCCACAAAATAAAATGATTGAATACATGCACCAAGAGTTCTGAGCTTCCGGCTCGACCGCACGGCATTGTGGGTAGTTTTCTCAAAAATGCATTGCTATTTTGTTAAATGAAAAAATCTTTACCTTACCTTCAAAATGTCTGATTGGTGAACTTTTTTGCAATTAAAACAATCTATGGGCTGGAAACAAGAGAGAGAGATCACGTTCGCAACAAGTAATCCAATTTGGCAGAGTGATTTGATGCCCACCTTTTTGAGAAAACTACCCACAATGCTGTGCGGTCGAGCCGGAAGCTCGGAACTCTTGATGCATGTATAACGCCTTCAATGAGACGTGACCCGCAGGGTTTGTTTGTACTAAATGATGAGCATGTTTGCATGGAGCTTTATTATTCATAACCTGGCTCATTTGAACTATAAACATGATCAATGGTTTATTTCAAATCTGCAAGACATATGGATAGACAGTTACTGAAAAATGTAAGTAAATGTACGTGATTTTAATTTGGGCTTTGACTTTTGCACAAAAATCATACTCAAAGTTGGTATGTTTTTATTCATAGAATACGTGAATTCAATATTGATCCAGTCCTCTTTCACCTATTCAAACACATACTACAAAACAAAAACAACACTTCAACAAAAATATACAATAGGATTGTAATGTACAATACATACATACACAAACTAAAATTACACAACGCACTAACATCAATGGCATGAGACAGGACTAGATACACATATCGTCACCAGACCTGTGTTCTGTGCTGCCAGGGCCCTGTCCCCCCTTCCAGTGGCAGCCATGTTTTGGAAGTTCGACCTGCACACCACGTCCCACATCGAGCAGTTACTGGAGCGTGAAGACGTGACGCTGCGAGAGCTCATGGAGGAGGATGACATCCTGCAGGAGTGTAAAGCCCAGAACAGACGACTGCTGCTGTTTTTGTCCCAGGACCAGTGCATGAGGGAGCTGGTGCAACTGATCACCACTGAGCCTTCAGAGGAGCTGGAGGAGAGGAGCCGCTTCAAGTGAGTGCAGTCTGGGCACAGAGTATACACCATTCCCACTCTATCCGCTTACTAGGTTATTTCCTGCGACTGGCAATTATCTAGTTATATTGCTCCATTCCCCACAGTGTGAGGAGGTCTGACCCACAGTGAGGTCTGACTTGCAGTGTCTGACCCACACTTTGTCAATTGATGGATTAATCTCATAAATGGCAGGCAATGAGTGCGTGCTCTAGCGTTAGCCAATCAGCGCCGGGTTAACCTCAAGCCCCACCCAGGAGTTATTCAGGGCCGAATGGAGTACCTAGCATGGAGGAGGTACTCCGTTGGTTCCTGTAAATGGCCCTGTGTGGGAGGGTCCTGCAGTGGAGACACGCACCCTGTAAAATTACCCGGAAGTTCCTGCGGTGGATACGCGAGTGTGTGTGTGCGTGATAAAGAGCAGTCCTAATTATAGAAAATATTCACATGAAATACAATTAACTCATTGTGTGCCATTGACGCATTAATATGTCAATTGCCTTTCCCGCTATTTTCACGTTCCCAGATGTCTATTGTATCTAATATGTATGGGGATGGCTTGAGACCATATTTTATCGAGCCAGCAGGTGGCAGCATTGCTCTCTGAATGGTTTGAAAACAGTTAGGTGCACATTTTGTGCCTCTTTTTTTCTCAACTTTCTGGTGATTTCAGTAAAACTTCCCTCTACTCAACGGAGAATTACAGGGGAACGAAACAAGCTAGAAACAAAATTCTTTTTGCTGATGAAAGTAGACAGTCCATTCTTTTAGAATCTGTCGGATTTCAGATAGTCATAGTACACAATATTCTGTGGGTCTTTAAAAATCAGTAAAAAACCATCAGAAACGGCTGGCAATATGGAAGTACCTGTTCTGAAATGGGCTGGCAGTCAATGAGTTAGATGTCTCACTCTTATAGGGCACTCACAACTCGAGTGCCAGTATTCTGGCGATATCTAGTAGACCGCCACTACTGCCGATATAATTCTGTGGCTTAGATTCATCGGTCTAGCTATACAATTAGCTTAGTGTGTAAACTATTGCTTTAAGCAGCAATGACAACTGTCTGATTTTTTTGTGTGTGGGCTGTGATTGACAAGCGAGCTCTCAATCACAGCCCAGACCATGCCCAACTCTAAGCCCCCGTTCTTGTCCCCTGGCCCTCCAGGCAATGCCCTTTTTTAGAGACATTTTCAAATATTCATGTGGATGGAGTAAGCCCTGGCACAAGTGTTTAGTCGTCCTTGAAAATAAACTGCACACATTTAAACTACGGCTATTATTCTCTCCCCTAAGAGACACTCTCTCTATTAGCACACAATTATAATCACCAGTGGACCTTTGCGCATAAACTGTCCATGGAGGGATACCTCACTATGGTCTCCTGATGACCGAGGATCCACCATAATTTCCTGTGTCTACATTTACTTTAGGTGATGGTTATGTGGGAAGGGAAAGTGTCCTGGATTCCAATGCCTGAAAGGTTAATGTTACTGATTTCCTGCAGGTTCCCGAACATTGCGTGTGAGCTGCTGACCTCGGATGTGTCCATCTTAAACGACAAACTTGGTGGAGATGAGTCGCTCCTGGAGATGCTCTACCACTTTCTCGAGCAAGAGGCGCCTTTGAACCCGCTCCTTGCCAGCTTCTTCAGCAAAACTATCGGCAACCTGATCGCCCGCAAAACTGAGCAGGTCAACACCTGATAATGCTTTACTTGATAATACTTTGATAATGCTTTATTACTAAGAAGTTTCATAAAGTTATTTCTACCATCTCATAGGACCACAGTAGGGATAGGCAATACCACAAAAAGTACTTTTTGAGGATTTTGAATTGATGGGTTTACAGTATTTACTGTGGTGGCAGGGGCACATTTATGTGTGGAAGCTATCAAAAAGAATGTAAAAGAAGACAAACAGAACGACTGGTTCAGTTTGCTCTGGCGATGCTGAAATTATTTTTAAAAAGTCCAAAGAGTCTATGTAATGTGACATTGATTCGCTGCTATTGTACCCCAGTCTCCCATCCCAAGGCTACTGTATGTATGGAAACTAGGCTTGAGCTAAATCTGGTGCATTTACAGGACTGGTAAAACTACAATGTGTAAAGGATGAGGGAGGGAATCTGGAACGGGGTCTTTAAAGTGATTGTCTGGAGTTTGTCAGAAAAAAGAGGGAAGTAGATGATTTGAAAACAAACAACTGAGCACACGCGCAGCTACGAGCATGAGCGCAGATGATTGACAGCCCTTGGCATTGCTTGATTGGTTAAACTGGACGGCATCGTGGATTTTGAGCTAGAGCTAAGAGAAGGGAAGGCGGGACTTACCCGTCATATTAGAAATCATAAAATGCCTTATTTTATATCAACATTTAAGGCCAAGAGGTCATTTTAATACAATTCTTAAAATGTCTAATTCATTTAGAATTCTAGACTATCGCTTCAAATTAAATTAAATAAAAGAGCAACCTCAGAAACTGACCTCCGACCAGTTTATAATAATAACTCAGTTCAAATGAATTTCCATGGCTTTATTAGTTTTCATATTTGTTCATGCGCAGTTTTACTTCCTGGAGGCTTTTAAATATTTTCTTCCCTTTCTGTCACAAACTGTCACTACAATAATTTTACACCAGGGCTTCTGTCCCACAACAAAAATGCATCACTTGCGCAAGAATGTAAGCGTTTTTATATCTAGGGCTTTGGTGTTTAGGCCATTGATTAGTCGATGGGATCCAAGTCGACAAAATTCTGTATGGGTTGACAAATTGAGAGGATGAGGTAAAAGCAGGAACATTTGATTCACAAATTGAATTCACATTTTTATTATTGTTAGTCATGTTTTTCTTGTTGTTTTGCATAGTGTTGAAGTGGCTTTAACTTTAATACTGTAACTATGATAGTTTTGAGAGCTTTATATTCAGTCGATCAACCAGGTGAGTGTTTGGTGGACGTCAGCCCTGTCCTCCGCTCCCTCCACTGACTCTCCATCCACAACAGAATCCAATATAAACTCTGTCTCCTCAGCCCACACATCACCTCACGCACCCTTGGCTCGGCCTCCACCCGTTGTCTCTACCAGCCCAGGTCTAAACGCCCCACCATGGGAGAGGGGGCCTTCCAGGTTGCAGCTCCACACCTTCAAGAGACTTTGGGGGCAATGTTGCCTTTAAGCTGCGCGCGTGCGCAATTGCGCCTAGACAACTCTTTCCTGCGCACACAAGGAAATTCAGCGTCCTGTGCCTCCAGCACAAACAACGCGGGTGCATATTTCAGAAGTGTATGGGCCACGGTGGATCTGCGCAGGCGTCATTCTCTGGAACAAAAAAGAAAAAGTCACACCCTCTTTGTCTGTGACCATGAGGTAAACTGTCCGCGTGTGCGGGAGAAGCGCCCGTCACAGAAGTCTGAAGCTGCGTTTGATCCAGGACAGGGCTCGGACCAACAGCACCCTGCACACCGTGAACACGCATACTCGGTCTTGCCGTGGACTTGCGAGTGGTGTCTCACGAGCACTACACCAGCTGCAGTGTGTGCGTGGAGCCACAAACACACCTCACGCGCACGCACTTATGTAGGGAAGACCCCTTTAGTTTAGCACATAGTTGCCTATTGCTGAGTAAAGTTGGTTTTTTGGCAATATGACTACTATTATCTTAGATAATTATTGGTCTATGTGTTTTATTTTATAATGCCATATGACTAAATAAAACCCATGTATACTATGTATTAAAATACTCTAAATAGTCTATATTAAATATGAATCCACTTTGAGTATTTTGTGTTTTTAGTGCAATACACCAAATATGTTCCTCAATCTGCTTTAATTCACCATCTATAAAAGACTCATTTGACTCATGATCAGGTGAATATTGAACCGAATCATAGTTGGTTGAAGCTGGAGTAACTTTAATAAATGGGATTAGCAGGTGTATACAGGAGGTGTATACAGGAGGTGTATACAGGAGGTGTATACAGGAGGTGTATACAGGAGGTGCATACAGGAGGTGCATACAGGAGGTGCATACAGGAGGTGCATACAGGAGGTGCATACAGGAGGTGCATACAGGAGGTGCATCCAAATGTGAATGGTTTTCAACAGAGATCTCTCGCTCAAAGTGTTCCACGTGCCGCTCAGGGGTTTTGTGTTTTTGCCCTGACCCATGAAAAATTAGAGGGAACCTTGTCTGAGGACACCACATAGTGTGGAGGCCTTTTAAAAGAGGCCTGAAAACCTTCCTTTTTAATCAGTCCTTCTAGGGATTTTATGAGCTTTTAACCCCTTCATGTATTCTTTTTGATGTTTTATGTACTTCTGAGGCTTTTGTTTTGTTTGTTTGTGGTATTGTATTTTAATCTCAAGCACTTTCCTGGAAATGTAAGGTGCAATATAAATAAAATGTATTATTATTATACCTGTGGCATCTGCAGGTAATCTCTTTCCTGCGGAGAAAGGAGGGCTTCATCGGTCTAGTGCTCAAACACATCGATGCGTCGGCCATGATGGATCTGTTGCTGCGGCTCATCAGCTGTGTGGAGCCGGCAGCACTGCGACACGACGTTCTGCATGTGAGTCTTATACATTGCAACCCACTCGGGGTGGGTTGTTATACAATGTATCCTTAGCTAAGAGGACCAAGATACCAATCTGGTCTAAGGGTGGTGGCTGCAGTTCCGTAAGTGCTGTACGTGCATTAGCTGTTCTCTAATATCAACTTGAATCTTTCAATTCCACACTAAAGTCCGATTGGTTGGAACAGTGGTTAGGCTTTTTCTGGCTTTCTCTGCCAAATGTGTCATGCAGAAATTGGTTGCAATCAGGGGCAAGGAGTTGATGATATTCCTCTTGTCACCACACACTTGAGGACCTGATTGTGCCTCCAGGTGTTAATGGCCTTGAGTAAGGCTGGTCCTGCAGCTGGTCAGGATGTGCGTCACAATTTTTTTATTTTTTTACAGTTTAAAAAAAAACAAACACAAGGCACTTTCACAACAAGGATGTGGTGGCTAAAATAAATATACACAAATAATCAAATCAAATTACAATACAATATACCTTAGTTTGCATCATCATTCCAACCATCAATTGAAATATTGTTATTCTTAAGAAAGCCATAGAAAATATTCCACATTTGTGGAAAATTGTCGAGCTTGTTTTTACTGACACAGCTTATTTTTTCTGAAGCTAAATACAAAACCATGCCTTTCACCACTGTGCAACAGTGCTTGGAGTGTCTGATTTCCATGAAGTAGCGATACAGCGCTTGGCTTCCAAAAAACAAATGTTCAATAATGACTAGTGCTGTCCAACGATTAAAATATTTAATCGCGATTAATCGCATGAATTTCATAGTTAACTCGCGATTAATCGCAAATTAGTCACACATTTGTGTGGGTGTGTGTGTGTATGTATGGGTATAGACCATAGACTGTATAGAAACACCATGGTGTCATTATGATGATGATAAACAATCTGTAAATATTTTGTAAATTTGTTCATGTAAATACTCTATGCTGTTTCTCTGTTTACTTTCGGTATATCTATGACTGTATACTGTTTGTTTGTATTGCCTTTTTTATTAACCCCTCCCCCTCATCTCCCACTTCATGCCCCCCCCCCCCCCCTCCTATGTGCCCTTCTGGGTTTCTTCTTTGGCCCCCTGTATCTCCAACTACATATTGTTTGTAATCTCTGTCTACAATGTATCTGAACTAGTCCTTTTCTTTGTTTCTATTTTTTTTCCTGGATATGTGTTTGTCTGCAATAAAAAGTAAAAAAAACCAAAAAAAACGTGTTTTTTTTTTTTTTTTATCGCGCGATAAAAAAAATGACGCCGTTAATATTGATTTGCGTTAACGCGTTAATAACGCGATATTTTGGACAGCACTAATAATGACACAACGTTTTTAGAGGTCACAAAGCCCTTGGGGTACAAATTCAATAAACACATTTTAGGGTCTGCAGGAACATTCTTGCCCACAACCCCACTCAAAAAAGTCAAAACGCTCTTCCAGAATGATAAAATATGCGGGCAATCCCACATACAGTGCCCTTTTGGTCCTTACATTTCAAGCATGTGTCTGGAACAGGGCTTAAAGAGTTCCGTCGGGCTGATGGATTTCCGTCAAATGAAATTGGTCTGAAAAAATAATAATTATAATAATTATACACACAATGATATGGTTAATTATGTTAGGGATAATGTATAGCACACAGGGTTAGGACCTTTGTGCTATACATTATCCCGCTTATTATACTGCTTTGTACCAACTGAACACACAAAATAAACTTCAGATCACTTTTATGAATGCCAAAGGTTTATTTCATGACAACCAATAAAGTAGTCCCAAAAGGTTTTCCCGTTGCTCGGCAACGTGCCGCGGGCAGGCAGTGTGGCTATGCGTGTATTATCTAGCTACTTATTCACATTAAACTGGACATTCCCGTTGAAGGTGCAGTTGGAGATGAGGAATGGTGGTGTATCTCTTAGCCTTAACGGGAGTAAGGCTAAGTTGAAAGTCTTAAGGCGCGTTCAGACCAAAAGCTTCAAAAAGCTTTTGACGCGCTTCAACTGACGCCGGGATAGTTTTGTCATTTTGGTGCTTGAAGCTTTTGACGCGAGTGACGCGCCTGACGCCGGTGGGAGGAGCTTTTCTGTTGCCTGTAGTCAGGACAGCGGTGGATTTTTCAATGAGCAGCGAGCCTTTATTTGTTATATAAAGCAAAATAACGTTGTTGTAGGGCTTCAACAAAACATGTTCTGTGTTCACCACAGACTTGAGAGGCTGCAGTGTTTGCAGAGTTCCGTCATTTACTCCAGGAGCTGTGTACGGAGGAGTTTCGCTTTCAGCGGTACTTCCGCATGTCACTTGCCCAGTCTGAGTTCTCAAACCCCGGCTCTCGCCTCCCCCTGCCTCTCCCTGCCTCTCCCCGGCTCTCGCTCGCCTCTCGCCCGCCCGGAGCTGCCTTGCTCTGAGCCAGACCCATCGTCAGCCTGTTCTTATATTAAATAAACTACGTTTACTACACAGCATGTGTACAATGATTTTTGTTACTCAGAACGTTACTACTCATACAAATAATATTACTAATAACAATAATGATAATAAAACAGCAGCAGCATGACTTCTCTCCATGACAGAGACAGACCCTCTGCTGCTGCTGCTCCTCGTCTCCTGATTGGTTGAAGCCCGCGTCAAAGCTTCAAAAGCTCAGCTTTGCTCAACTTCGGCGTCAAAGGGATTGTTGTGATACGCGAGCGTTTCGCGCGTCAAAAGCTTCAAGTGAGCGCGTAGTACGCGCGACTCTTGAAGCTTTTGACGCGCGTCAAGTGACGCCGGGCCCCTCGGCTTCACCTGACGCGCTTCACCATTCACTTTCAATGGAAACCTGACGCTTTTGACGCCGAAGTTAAGTCCGGTGTGAACGCCCCTTTACTCCCGTTAAACTCAGGAGCGATTCCCCCAGCTTCTCTAGCCGATACAGAAGTAGTGGGCGCCTCTGGAAATGGATAACACTAGCGTAAATATGCTGAACAGAACTTGCGGGATAGAACAGAATTTTTTTATAAGGCAACTCACCAGAAAGGATCTGGCTCCACTTCTCCCGGTCAGATGTTGTGGCAGTCCAGTAGCTCTTCAGACTGGTTTCGCATCTGTGTCCGGTAACCGTCCTAATCTCCAGTGTTTGCATGCCGCCTTTTGACAATAGCTGCACAGCTGTACTGCGCAAGCTATGGTTGGTGTAGTGCCTCGAAAGTGCCGCTGCCTAGCTTATATTTGGCATTATTTGTCCCTGTGCGTTATGCCCCATGGGCTCCGTGGAATACCAGATGTTCTGCTGATTGAGGTCTTCCTGTGGCTTTCTAAGAGGGTTTAGGCAGAATGCAGTGGAATCCGGTGGGCAACGGGAAAGATACAATTTAAAGCTTGCAACTGGACAATTTGGGTTTGTTGGCTCAGCAAAAATGCAGCCGCAATATATCTGTTGCATCAGATCCAAGGGGTTTTTGTGAATTTTTTGTTTTGTTTCAGCGTTGTGGGATAATGTGATGAATTCTTTCCATTTTCATCTTGTTTGAATATAAACGACGTTAGGTCCTAGTTACCTTCTCTTCCCCTACGTGCAAGGTGTAACTGAACATCAAACCATACTTTTCTTACAAGGCCAATCGCTGGGCTTGAAGTGAGGACACCAGAATCCTTTATCTTCTTTAGATCATTGCTGGAGATTGGCGGATGATGCTGGCTGGTGTCTTCGCCACTCTTGCGATGTTCCCTTATGACCAATTTATGATTATTGTTGCTGGAATTGAACAGTTGGTTCTCTAGAATGTTATAGTGGCTGTAATAGCAGTTTATTCCGCTACGCAGAGCAGTGTAACTTGCCACAGAGTAGAGATCTCCTGCGCTGGTGCGCACGGATGGATAATACATTCTTAACAGTGTGTTCAACCCATCTGCATCATCCGCAACAGACGTATTGTAGGTCTCTTTTACCCAATCTTTGAATATTTTCACTGCACAAATTATGCTGCTCTTTGTATTTGTCTCTTTGCGGTTTTCCTCTATTTCATCAATCTCTTCAGCTGTTAGGTGTTTATGCCTCTTGTTGGTCTTCTCTACCTCCTGTTTTTCTTGGTTCCTCTCCTCCTGTTTTTCTTGAGTTTTTCTTTTAAGTTTGGGAGACATTGAATTAGATTTTTGGCCAGACGGTATCGCTCTAAGCTCGTTGACGAAGTGTCCGGACTACTTGCGGAGTGATCTGATCAGGATCTTGCATTGCCATGGGCAGTGGTCATTATTTTGAGGTGTCCGTTATGAGAAATTATGACTGGTAGAACATTTTGAATTACATTCAAATCAATGGAGCATTCTACTGCTGCTGTGAGGAGCTGTATAATAAAAAAATACATATAACAGATACACACGTATATGTATTAATGTATCTATTTATATAATATGAATTAGTGCTGTCCAAAATATCGCGTTATTAACGCGTTAACGCAAATCAATATTAACGGCGTCATTTTTTTTATCGCGCGATTAAAAAAAAAAAAAAACAGACAAACACATATACAGAAAAAAAAATAGAAACAAAGAAAAGGACTAGTTCAGATACATTGTAGACAGAGATTACAAACAATATGTAGTTGGAGATACAGGGGGCCAAAGAAGAAACCCAGAAGGGCACATAGGAGGGGGGGGGGGGCATGAAGTGGGAGATGGGGGGGGGGGGGTAAAAAAAAAGGCAATACAAGCAAACAGTATACAGTCATAGATATACCGAAAGTAAACAGAGAAACAGCATAGAGTATTTACATGAACAAATTTACAAAAGAGTTACAGATTGTTTATCATCATCATGACACCATGATGTTTCTATACAGTCTATGGTCTATACCCACACATACACACACACACACACACACACACCCATAAACACACACACTCCACACACACACACACACATACACCCCACAGATAAGATAAGATATAAAGTCAGCCCGCCTGAGTTTCACCAAGCTAAGCGGAACCCAGCCAACATCAAAACCAAATCCGACACACAC